TAAAAATGTCATAGCAGCCTTGTGGAGCATGTGACTCTTGCTAAGTGCTCCTGCCCCATTCCATTGTCTGTTTCATGCCACATGCACGGCACTTTCTTGGTAGCTCAGTTGTTTGTATCAGTTTGCAGCAACTGCTTAATTCTTACATAGTTTGCTCTCAGTTGCTTCTTGTGTGTTTGATATAGGGATCTGTCAAGAACCGCCTGTAGGTATTAAAATGGCACTGAGTGGCTTTGAATGCCAGACATACACATATGGCACCCTTTACCTACAAACTAGTCAGATGGCAGTGGACTAAGATGCATGTGTTGTGGAGGTGAAGCAAACATACATAATCCAGCTGTTAGGCAAGCTCCCACGTTTCCCAGTGCTGCATACTGATCTTAGTCTTGACTCATTGGTACCAAGGTGGTCCTGGACCATTTTACCAATGGCCTCTAGGTAATTAGTCAGTGGTCTGTGTTCCTTTTGGATGTGTGATTTAGCTGTCTGCAGTGACTGTCTCTTCAGCCCTCATTAACCAGGCTGGCTTGTTGCAGTTAAAATGTGTGTTGTGTGTTTTCAGGCCACTGAAAGCAAGATGGAACACCTCGAATGGGCAAGAAGAAAAGGACACATGGAGTGAGGAAGATGAGCTCTTCCTGGACAAGAGTAAGTATGCTATTTTTGCCATGCACACTCTTTAATTGCTGGTCCCAGCCATGCTGTTGGCCCTGGGGCACTCTGTTGCCTTGAATACGTGACAGAAACCAAAAGTCTAGAAATCCCATAACCCTGGAAAGCTTGGGACTACGGTTGCTGTTATAGGACTGCAGAAACGGAGATGATGTCCTTTCTTAGGCGGGCCCAAACAATGGGAAGTTGCTAAATCCATTGTGTACCTGATCATGGAACATCTAGCAAGTACCCTCTTGTTACAGCTTCAGACCTGTCAGTCATTGTCAGCTATTCTAGTTTGAGACCCAGCCCAAAAGCAGTTCCTTCCCATTAACAGCTGTAGGGTGGCAGATCAGCATTTGCATGCTTGTTTCAAAAGGTGCAATTAATCACCACTAAGACTTTTCTTCTGGATGCTGTTTAACATCTGGGACCTTCCCTGCTGTGGCCTGAACATGCTTCCATTTAGGAACAGGGATTTCTATTGAGGACGCTTTTGGGCTCAGGCTGTCCTCTTTTTTTTTTTCTTAGACACATTCGCTAACCTGAGACAAGTCTAATTCCTTTTGACGCCGTCTTAGTTATTATATTTCTTTAGTTACACTTCTTATGAGTAACCAGGGCTTGGATCAGAATGGCCAAGTGTCCCTTCAGTATGTGGAATTCTAGAAGCTAGAGGAAGTAAGGGCATTTGTTTCTATTTTCCATACCCTGGCCAAGGGTGTTCCCCTGGTGGCCATGCCGCTCTCTCCCTGTAATCGAGCCAGCTAAAGCCAGTCTCTCTGGGAGATACATGCGTAGCAGAAGGTGAATGCTGAAATATGACTCTCCTTGGGTTTATTTTTCAGAGTCCCCTGGGAGAAATAGCCACAGCTCTTCAATCCTCGGTTCCAAGAAGCAGGTAATATAGAGCCCTCCAGCTCCGTTCAGCAGCCCAAAGCAGGGCTCTGCAGGGGTAGTGAAGCAATAGAAAAGGTTGGAAAGGGGAAATCCCTTTTGCTGTTCAGAGATTTCTTAGCCTCTGGTATCAGCTCAGGTAGAAGAGTCCAAGTGATTTGATGCACACTGAATGGAGAACTCTGAGATGCTGAACTGACAGATGATATTTACTAAGGGACTGGAGTACCTTGATCAATGCTTGCATTATCTAAGCTTTGAACTTACAAGGGGGTGAGTTGGGTTGCACGGATCTTTAAATTGAGAGGGCCTGGCTTAAGTTTGTCCACTAAAAGCCAGGAAAGTGGTAGAGGCCTAAAATACTGTGTGCCGCTTATCCTGGCTGGCATCTGCTTCCTGAACCGCTCAGCAGGTAAGTGAGCTGAAGAGGCGGAGAACCAGAACACATCCTAGAAACCACATCATTCCTAAATAAGCCTGCAGCTAGTATTAAAAATATAAATACTCTTTCAGGAGGTGCCGGGGTTGGTGTCTCCTGAGTGAATCCTCCTTACTTGCCCCCTTTTGTCTGATGCCAATTGTTTGGAGCTGGGTCCGTCGGATTTTCCATGCAGTGAAAAAGCATGGTGCATGCCAGTGGCACCACACACAGAGTTTGTCACCTGGCAGCATTTGCCTTGTAAAGGCTCCAAAATCTGATGCCTGCAGTAACCAACTTTCTGACAAGTGAATGGGTGTTCACTTTTATACTACCTGTACATCTTTCAGTGTTTGCTTTCCTGTGGTTCACCTCTTCCGTTATACTTGGCCTCCTGTCACTGAAATTCACAGTGCCCTTGAACGCAGCACTTTCCTTCCATGAGCCGCAGGTAGTTAGTTCTCTTTACTTGTATGAACGTTGCACAGGGCATGTAACTTCCACACTCTCTCCATGATTACTTGGAGGATACAAGAGCAATAACTCCTGAGAATTTCCTGTGTAATCTACACTGTGATGTGGGAAACAGAACTAATCCTGAACTTCAGCTATAGTATTTTCCTGGTATATAACCATTGTAACAATTCTTCTGGAATGGAGTGATCATTGGGTACCTTGGAGTTATTGGCGAGGTACCTGTGCCTTATTCCTATGTTATAAGAAGGTGCTGATAGTATGGATGTAAGGGGGACCAAGGAGGCTAAGAAGCCTTTAGTGTAGAGGTGATAGGACCTGTGCCTTAAGAGTCATGACACCCCTTGTTCTTCTTTTGCAGAGGTGGACAGTGCAGGAAAGCGAGTGGATCAGAGAAGGAGTGAAGAAGTTTGGAGAAGGGAACTGGAAAATCATTTGCAAAAAGTTCCCCTTTGAGAATCGCACCTCGGTGATGATTAAGGATCGCTGGCGGACCATGAAAAAGCTGGGACTCCACTGAAAACTGCAGTTGAGGAACTTTTAGAGTGACACTTGCTCTCATTTCTCTCCAAAAGATGGACCAAAGCAACAACTGTCATGGGAGGAAGCTTGTAGTCCCCTTCCTAGCAATGTGATAGGAATGATGTGAAGACTTGTTATGGCTGCTTGGGAGAGCTGAATGCTACAGCTGGAAGAAGCAAAGTTTAACTAGAGCTTGGGACACCTTCCTAGTTCTTGTATTTAGCTGGAGTCACTAAATTTAGGTCTTTGTCTGTCAACCGAAGCAACACAGCCTGAGTAACTCTGGAAATAGTCTAGTAAAAGTGCTACAATGCTGACATTTTGTATATGTTCAGAAACAGCGAGGACTCTGGCAGCCTTTGCCCTATGAGCATTCGAGCTGGAACCTGAGTGGCCTGTAGCTGGGTCGCAGCTTTCTCTACTCAGACACTGGTTGAATGGCAGGATAATCCTGTCACCGACTGTTTTATCTATATTCATTTTCTTAAACCGATTGTGAATCACTTGGCTGATCGGCTTTCTCCATCTGCCCCTCCCAGAGGGGCAAGCAGCAGTGTAGACTGAGCTGTTGCTGAGTTGCACCGGCAGAAGTCTGGTTTCTTGGCAAGGGGACTGGCGTTTGTTTCCACATTTCTCTGCTTTGTACATTTTTATATTGAGTGGGGATTTCTTCCTCCACATTTTTTTGATGCTTTAAAATAGATGTTTTGTTTTGTCTTTGTGCTCATTAGTTTCTAGAATGTTTGGAGCCAGATATCAAGTTAAAAGTTAGTGTTCAGTTGGTTTGACTTGCCTCCTTCTTCGCAAAATTCCCTTCCTTGTGTCTGTTTCCTGGAGTAGTGCATTATCTCTGAAAGGTCTCTGGGGATCTCTGGCAGGCCCCAGACATGCCTTGCCTTCTAATGCCAAGTCCGATCCCATGTCTGAACCCATCATGTAAAATAAAGCAGTTCCTGTGTTGGATATAACAATTGCAACAAATTTGATTTGCATCTCCCCAGCATTCCCCCCTCAGGTAAATATTCCACCTTGAAAAGGGAGAAGCTTGGCATATCCCTGGGTCAGTGCCCTAGTGACAGCTTTGTGGGACACCCTGTTAACAACCAGAATTTCATCCTGCATTCACTTCCTGAGCCAGCTGAAGCCGGGAGCATCGCATCAGCAACTAACTGAATTGGAGTGCCAGAAAGTCTTGTACCCCTATCCGGTGGGATGCTGCTGCTTATTAGGAACAAGTGGATTTCAGAGGCACTTATGTATCATCTTCCCCTCGCTTCCACCAACACTCATGCATTTAATTTCCTTCGGTTCTAGCTGCAGAAATACCCCAACAGCAGGGGTCCTGTGAGCTGCTTCCATTGTCACTGGTGCTGGGTCCCCTGGTCCCCTGCTTGCCTTAGCCATGTCCTTTGGCACTAGCGGTTGCTGGAAGGAACCTCACCAGAGGAACTCCTGGCTGTCTGGATACAAGTGGCTCAAGTAACCTCTTCAACTTTGCTATTAGCCAGACTTTCTCCCTGCCCTTTGCCCTGTTTATTTTATATTTTCGTCTGTTCTGAAACTTTCCTCTGTGCTTGAGTGGCCTGGCTGTGAAGTGTTTCCCCTGTTTAGTAGTTCCATTTGGGCCAGTTACAGTAAACCAGATTAATAAGTGTCAGTGGAAGAAACATGGGACACTTTCTTCCTTGTGCCATACGAGGGCATGAGAATAAATATCATCCCACATCCAAATATCAATACCAGCCCTTTGCTTGCCTTCCACTCTATGCAATAGAACACTTTCCAGCCAGTGGTGCCCCTTTCCCATTTACAGAGTGAGGACATTGCCACAGACTCCATAAGAGAAGAGAAGTCACGGTCAAAGATGAAACAGGACCTATCTTGCAGCACCCAGATGGGATGGCAGCATAAGGTAGTGGAAGATATAGGGCACACAGCCCATGTAGCCAAGTCCCTGGGTCTTCTCTGGCATATTGTTGCTCTGTGATCAGTGTCTAGATTTCTTGTACTAAATAAAGTTTCTAGGAATGTTTTAACACACTAATCACTATAATAGAGTCCTTCAGACCATGGTGTGGGCTGTCGACAGAAGTCTGAGTGCAGGACACCCAGCCTGCCCCCAGAACAAGCAGTTCCCCAGGAAGGACCGTTTGTACCTAGTGACGGTTCTTCAAAGCGGACTTCAGGGTTTTACAAAATGTTTCAGATGGTTAAGCTCTAATGAGGACAAACTGCACAGCTGCCCATGCAGGCCTGGTAATTGCACTGAGATTACCTTGAGGAGTTGAACTCCTTCCAAGTGCCTCTGATGTTTGGATAAGTGCAGCTGTGTTGTGTGCTGAAGGGAAAATGTTTGGCAAAAGCAGAGAGTGAGGAGTGAAGTTAATGATTATCCCCTTGCATCCTGGGACCCATGCTCCTGCTCTGCCCCAGCCAGAGGGGTGGAGGCTCACAAGGCAGCATGGTCCCACTCTTTCCTTTGGCTGTGATTGTGGGTCTGCTTAGTCTGACAGGCCCTGCCAGGAGCCCAAAGACCGAGCCCCTGAGTGGCTCCAGTGAGCAGCCTCTCTTCCGTGGAGCTGATCGCTATGACTTCGCCATTGTTGTCCCTGCAGGTGGCACAGAGTGCTTCTGGCAGTTTGCACATCAGAGCGGATACTTCTACTTCAGCTATGAGGTGAGTGCTGGGGAGGACTCTTGCAAATGGCAGGTTTTCAGCTCAGTGGAATTTCCTGGTAAAATAAAGAACTTCCCGCAGCCAGACAGCTGCATATCCAACGGAGGAATTGCCAGAGTGGATCCAGCTGTCATGGTCTCTGGCAATAGCCAGTACCAGCTGCTTCAGGGGGAAGGTAGAATGAATCCTGTAGTCAACGATTAGGCAATAACCTGCTCTTAGAGAGAGGCTGTCAGTCAGTAGCTGGTTTATGTCCTAAAGCAGGAGGGCTTATAGCTCCCCAAAACAGTTACTTTACAAAATCCTCCTTAGTGTAACTCTGGATGCTCTCAGTGTTCGCTTAAATCTCCAACCTTTTTTGAATCCTAAACTTTGTCTCAATGAGCTCTTCCAGCAGTGAGTTCCACAGGTTAAACGTTCATTGTGTAAAACATTGCAGGTAGTTTCTGTAGTGTAACATTTACATTGTGCACACACAAGATCCCCAACTGAAAAAAAGACAAACTCCTGAATCTTTCCAGCTATCAGGATGGCCAGCTGTCTGGGGTGCTGGGTTCTTTGGAGCACTCAATTTCCCCTGGAGTTTGGCAGCTGCTGGTTCTAATCCCACTCCAAACGACTAGCTAAAGATATATATATATTTTTTATCAGACTAAATGATCTAAATGGTCCCTTCTGGCTTCAGAATTTTTAAAAATGGTATCTTCTGTATCAACTTGCTGCCTTTCACTTTCAATGTCTGCTTGCTCTTGTATGCTGAGCGGGTGTGAATAGGAGTGCCCGACCTACCTTCTCCACGCCTCTATTTTGTCCCTTCTAATGTCTTCTTTGAACTGATCAGTCCCATTCTTGTCCTCAAAACGTCCATCCCTGCCTCTGAACCCCTCGATTTTTGCTCTCGCCCTTGAAGGAAGGCGATGAGGACGGTGTTCTGTCCTGGTAGCACACAGGAGCTGCCCTCTAGTCCAGTGCCCAATCTCTGACAGTGGCCGGAGCCAGATACTTCAGAGGAAGATGGAAGCAGCCTTGTATTAGGCAGGTGTGGGATGATCGTCTCGTCACCTCCCCACAGACATATTAGCTGTCTTCCTAATTCCTTAAAGAGATGGGTTTAAATCCTGAGGCACGAGGTTTATTGTCTCTTCAAAATTAGTTAGCATTATCTATTGTAACTCTGGATATTCTTGTTACCCATATAATTGTCCAATCCCTTTTTGAATCTTGCTAAGTTCTTGGCAACAGCAACATCCTCTGGCAATGAGTTCCGCAGTCTAATCTCGCAGGTGGAAGTGTTTGCTTCGTGTTAGTTTTGCATTTTGCTCTCTTTCATTTCATTGAATGTCCCCTATGTTATGAGAGGGGGAACAGAAGCTCTGATCTCTCTCTCTTTTTAGCTGATGGTTTATTAGTGATTCGTATAATGGCATCATATTTTTCTCAGCCATACTTGAAACATCCCCTTTTAACCCTCCTGACTTCCATTTTCACTCTGAATGCCATGGATTACTCTCCTTTCTATTGACTTCACTGGAGTTGGATTTCTTTCCCCTGAACAAGAGGGGGCTCAAATAACCTCTTCAACCTCATTAGCCAGACTCTTCCCCCGCCCCCCAGCTCACCTTCCTGTTTGTTTTGTTAAGGGGAGTTGCCTGCCTTTTAGTGACCTCACTCGAGGCTGAGTCTCAGGACTCGGTTTTTAGGGCCTTTTTGACTAAATTTCTTTTCAACTCCCCCTTCCTAAAGGTTAAGGCCCCACCATGCTGCTCCTGGGGCCCTCCCCTCTGTTGAGGAAGCTTGAACTTGATTGTATTGTGGTGACTATTAGAGGCTCAACTAGTGATTACTTCAGGCAACTCCTGGCTTTGGCTTTGACCTCAGTGGAGAAGAACGTCTCCTGGTTCTGGAGGATGTGCTGTTCCGAAGGTTGCTAGGGAACTTTGCCAAGTCGGTAGCAGAGGGGTGAGTGCTAGTAGCCAGCATCCAGTGTTGGTTGGATCTTCACTTGGCAGGAGGTTCCACAGTGCATGAACTCAGCTGAGCACTCACAACAGGAGACCTTCCTGTCCCCTGGGCTGCGAGTGGCAGGAGTATCCGAGGTCTCTTGCTGCGTGGTTGTGTATCGTCAGTGCTAGGTACTGGGCTCCCGCCTGGAATGGAGCCCTCCAATCCTCTTATCTTAAACCCTGTGACTTCCCAGCTTCTGTTTACACTGGGCCGATTGAAGTAGCTCTGGGAGTTTGTGCCTGGCACTCTTGGCACTATTCGTGTTTATCAGCTGCTCCCTTTATCTGTGGTGCGTGTGGAGCAAAGCAGCTGGGCTGTAGGCAGAGGGGTTGGAGCTGTTCAAGGATTCGGTGGACTGAGCTGGCGTTCAAGCCCAAGGTGCTCCCCCGCCCTTCTCTCAGCCTGTTCCAAAGCAGGGGAGGTGTGTGGCTGGGAGCACTGATTGCTGCATGCGTAAAGGGCAAGGAGGGCTGGGTTGAACCATAACACAGCTCCCGCTGGGGGCTGACTGTACATGGAGGGAAGGGAATCCACTGCCCAGTCATGGAACATGTTGGGGGGCCAACCCTGTGCTAGCTAGATCTCTACTAGCCGTGGCACGGCTCAGTACACAAACGAAGTGGTTGGGGAGAGAAAGGGGATTGCGGGAGAGGAGAATTACCCTGTACAGCGCAAAACGGCAAAATCCTTGGTGTCCTTGCTCTGACATGGGCAGAGGAGGAAGCAGACTCAGCAGGTTCTGCTTGCCCCAGCCTTCCTTTCTGAGCCTGCGTCCCCTGGAGCTAGCCCTGAGTGACCAGCAAACCACTTAGCTGCCTGGTGGAGGCTCTTTGCTACCACTCTGCAGGGTGAAAGATTTCTCCCCATTTCACTGACAGGAACTGAACCATCCAGCCACACACACTGTGGAGAGCCAGGACTTTCCCAGTCCCATGCTTGTTCCTCCAGGTGGTGCCTCTGCATAGCCTGTCTGGTCTGCTTAGGACGCTGTGGCTCCCGTAAACTCACGGGCACCCACTCGAGGTGAGTTTAGCTGTGTAGTAGTTGCCACTGAGAACAGTCATGGGCTTTGCTGCCTTTATAAGCAACACGGCCCCATCTGTTCCCATGGGAATTTCTGAGGACAGCATGGGTCAGGCTTGTTCTTTGCTAGAACTCAGAGCTGCACCCAAAGTTCCCTCTTCTGCTCATTGTCTCTTGGCTTCAGGTACAACGGACTTCAGGAATTGGACATGACAGACACGTCTTGGCCACTGCAAACGATCCCAGCGGCCTCCAGATGGGCACGTCCCAGGATGTACGAGGACAGATGAACTTCCCCACCAAAGAGACAGGTTCTTGCCACCCCTGCTACCTCCCTGGCCCGCATGAGAGCTGGACTACTCCAATCCTCCTGCAGATCGTTAATGATCTAAGCCATAGTCCTGTAAAAGTCTTGCTAGACACAGCATGTGTGATTCTGAGCTCAGAACTTGACTATACAGGCAACCAAGCTTTTCTGCAGCTGCTAAGCTCAGAGAGACCATGTCTCTGCTGCAGAGAAGGGGTAAATGGGAGCTAACAGAGCGGAGGATTTGGGGTAATGTCTGACTGTCACAGCACCTGTTGCTCTCCTCTGATGCTTTGAACCACTTCCCTCTACAGGTTTTTACCAGCTGTGCTTGAGCAATCGGCTCAACCACTTCGGTGTTGTGCAGGTTTATCTCAACTTTGGTGTGTTCTATGAAGGCTTTGACCTACAAAACTCGCCAGACATGGAAAGGAAGAAAATGAATGACACACTGGAGGCAATTGAGGTAATGTTTTATTTGCACCGTCAGCTGCCTTGGAATAAATTTTTACTTATTTTTTTAATTTTATTTATTTAATTTATAAATTTATTTAATCAATTGCAGGGCTGAAGCAAGCTCAAACGGGCATCTTGGTTTTGAAAATGAGGCACATGGAAGTAAATGGGGAGCTAAGGATAACTGCTGCTCCCAGGAAACACACATGGGGCAGCAACTGGAGTAGTTTTAAATCAGTCAGACACTTGGCTCTGGAGAGAGCCAGGAATGGGGGGGGTGTCACATTCTGGGGTGCAATCCAGATCAATGAGTAGCTGTGTCACTGCCTGCCCTGTAGCCCTGGGGGCCTCACAATGCTTTGCTGCTGTAGCTTCCAACCTGGGCCGACCAAACAGCATGCAGGTCACACCTTGACTGTGTGTAGCCAACTGGCCCAGCAGCCTGTCGGCAACACTCCAGTCACCCTCTGGCTTGGTTACTACCTGCAGGGTGACCCCAACACACTCCCAGTCTTGAATTTCCCCCAAAACGTGTTCTGCTGTCCAGCCCGCTGCTGAGCAGTTCAGGTATTAGAAATCCATTGCCCCTCTAAGGGGTCAATACGCAAGTTTGCTGCCTTAACTTGAGTTACCCAAACAGTTCAGTCCAAACACAGCATTGGATTAGTTCTGATTGTAGTTAAAGAAACTCATTTTATTTTTTAAAGACATTTTAGGTGAGTACAAGGCATTAAAGTCGGAAATGGTTACAAGAAAACTAAAGATAAAGCACTGTCTAGTAGCTAAAACTGAAGCTAGACTTGGTTGAAGATAAAATCCTTAGCAAAATTGCTGACCAACTTCTCAGGTCAGGATCTCTCATAAAGTCAAAGGGTTGGCTCCTTTGTCATCTTAGGTGAGAGAGAGACAGGGAGAGCTTTGGGGTGGTTTTGCCCCTTGCTTTTATAGTCCAGCCACCTTCTGAAGTGGATTCTTCTGAGGATTAACCCTCAAAGCAACGTTTATTCAAACTCTAAAGGCGGCAACATGGAGACTGGTGGTGAAAGTGGCTCCATGCGCGTTCTTCTCCGCTGTATAGCTGAAATGCAGCTTGTCTCCTGCCATTTCCCCCTTTTGCTGTCTCAAGGACCCTGTTTACTCCTTAGATCTAAATTGAGGTGTGCACATTCCTGTATTAAACAGGTCTGTCCTAAACAACTTTTGCCTAGCCAGGGCTGTGCTATCACCACCGTACAGGGGAATTCATAACTCTACATATGTTGTGTACATCTCACCAGAATATTGACAAGCAAGTTATTAGTTTCCAAGTGATACCTCACAGGGCCTATGTTCAACCCATAGTATGTGTAGCATGTGAATACAGTGCTGCTTTTGGTCACGGGGTTGTGTGAAAAACAGGAAGGGTGGCTGAGGGAGAGGTCTGTCAGTGGGGCATATGAAATCGGATGGGGCTGGCTGACTGGGGATCTGGATGGAATGTATCAATCCTGAACCACCCTGCTCTTGTCATTCAATCCCAAATGATGAAAGATCTGTTCCTGCAGGCTCTGTGGGAGGTCTGCGGGGCTTCCATTCTTCCCCTTACTGGTTCTCATAGGAACTTAGCAACGGCCAGACCAGATCAGCCCTAAGGTCCATCTACCCCTGTATCCTGCCTGACAGTGGCCAGCACCAGATGCTTCACAGGAATATTCAAGAAACCTGGCAGAAGGCAGATGTGGGATAATGTCCCCACAAAGGTTTCATCCCAACCCCCACTACTAGAGGTTATCTTGAGTCCTGAAGCACATAGTTAAAGCTCTTCCAAAACAGTTAGCATGAACAGTAATATCCACTGGATCTGGCCAAGTTCTTGGCCTCGGTGATACCTGGTGCCATTGAGTTCCACAGTCTAATCAAGGGTTGGGAGAAGGATTTCATTACCTGTCCTTGTGCTCATTGCAGGAGAGCACCCGCAAACTGCAGGCCCACGTCTTCCACATGTGGCGCTTTTATAACTTTGCCCGGATGAGGAAAGCGGCTGACTATTTCATCCTTCAGTCCAACTATAACTACGTGAACTGGTGGTCACTGGCTCAGAGCCTCGTCATTGTCCTCTCGGGTGTCCTGCAGCTGTATTTCCTAAAGCGGCTCTTCAATGTGCAGCCCACTACTGCCACCAACAAACCGAGGTGCTAAGGCCTCTGGCTTACACCACTGCTGGACCCAAGCAGCAGGAAGGACCAAAGGACAGGCCCGTAACACTGCAGAGCACACTGAACTCCATCTCATCCTTTCTCCCCTCCGCCTCCATGGAAGAATGGGAGATCCTACCTGTGGAAGGAGCTGGACTGGGGAATTTTTTCAGGTACAGAATTCCCCTCAATGCCCTAGCGTCCAGCTGGCTCTTTATCTTATCTTTATTCTCTACTCGGCCTGTAGCACAAGACCCATTTTGGGGGGAGGGAGAGGGGATGGTTCACTGTTGGTTTAGGCCTAACCTGCCCAATGGTCTAATAGTGAAATGGCTTGAAAAGCTGTTCACATATTATAAATAAAAGAAACAGTTCACACTGCGCAAGCACTGTCCTGTCTGAAGCCACCATCCTCTAGGAACCAGGGCTGCTCCCTGGCACGGAAGCCACTGCTACAGCACCCACCTACACGGCTTCTGATTTGCCCCGGGGGTGTGGTCATGGTGTCCTCCAGTCGCACAACCCTGTCAGCTCCCCCTCTCACTGTACTTGGGTCTCTGTTGGGGAACAAGGCAGAAACAATCCTGGGGGTGGGGAGGAATCACTTTGTTCCTGTTGACTGAAACAGCCGTGTTCACCTCCGTCTCCTGCTACACAGAACTTCCAGCTTGCCCTAGCACCCATGGAGGGAGTAGGTGGCTGCATTAAGGTGATCTACCCCCCTCCGCAGCTACTACTGAGAAAACTGCCTTTAGTCTGAGTGTAAGAGCTGTTCCTGGGCAGGGCTTAGGACCAAGTAGCTGAGTTCTTTCACTAGGCCACACCAACATGGTTTTTATTAGATAGAAAACAAGTTTTATGTAATCCCTGTCTCCTTCAGGCTGGGACAGGCACTCCTCAGAGCTCACAATAGTTATGACTAAGTCACAGGTAGACTGGTCTGTAATCCTCCACAGCAGCCTGCAAAGCCCCATCCCAGGAGAGCTCCCTGCTGCTGCTTTGAGTTCTGATTTCACAACACGCTTCATTGCCATGTGCAGCTGAGTCCTCAGAGCCTTGTGCTGCTGGCTGCCCTTTAAGTAAGCGTCTCCTCATGCCGCACGTACTCCCCAACGTCAGCCTGATGAAACACTACGATCGCCATGGGGTCCACTTTCCGGCAGTCCTGGGTAGACTTTGCTGCTACTCCAAAACCCTGGGGAATTAAGAATAGTGAAACTCAGGCACCCACTTGTATCAACACTGCTCTGCTCAAAGCAAGTTCATCACTGTTTTCTGAAGAACAATCCACTCCCCTACCAGCACTGTCACTTACCAGAGGAACATCGGCCATGGAATACACCACCACACCCTGGTACTGAGCTGTGTTCTCGGTGATGCGGCCTAGGCCAGATTTCAGCACGTGGTTCCCATAAAGGAAGGACTGCTCTGCTCCAGGTTTCACCCACACTTTATACTGCAAGAGAAAAGCACCCATCCTCAGGAGGCACAGCAGTTGCTCACCCAAATCTTCACAAGTTAAACTTACTGCTGAACCTACAAGGTTATTCCTCATGCAACTGGGCACAAGGGTAGAGACACAGGTGATACCACCTTATGAAGCAAGGCTCAAGTAGGGTATCTGGGGCATGGGAGACAACAGGGAAGACCTGTAACAGTCTGTTTCCTTTTGCTCTTCATGCAGCCATGTAAGGGGACCAGAGGCTGAGGCCAGTGAGGGTTAGTGCCAGGGAAGCCCACAGAAAGATTACTTTGTGCATGTAGGGTGAGCCAGAAGGCAGACACTTGAGACTGGAGACAGCTCCAGTGCCACAAGGGGAGTGAGTAGGGAGGGAAATATTAGCAGTAAATAGTTAGTAGCACCTAAAGACCGCAAACAGGATCAGGCCCCACTGTCCTGGGCACTGTATAAATCTATTAAAGAGACACTCCATGCATACAAGCTAGAGTGACACAGGGTAGGGGATATGCGCAACATAAGAGCAAATGAGTATGAGGAAGAATTGGTCCATCTTGTTTAGTTATAGGGTCTGCAGACATATTACACCCTTTTCCCACCCAGGTTCCCTCTAATTTTTTCCATGTGTGGAATAAATATTATGTGCACCTGTAGAAACAAGAAACCTAGATATAGTATTTTTTAAAAGTTAAATAGGGATAACTACTCGAGCCAGGACAGGTTAGGCATTTTAGAACTCACACTTAAATTTAATTCTTTCAGTAGTAAGAAAAAAATGAAATGCATAGACCAGTCAAAACACTAAACACACTTTGAAAGAATAAAATTACAGAGAATAGATGTACATTGCAAGAAGTAACAACAATAATATAAGTATATGTTGGGAGGTGCGTGTGACAACACAGGGACAGCGTTTGTGTGTGTCACACAGACTGTGTGTGTGCTGGCTGCTGGGAAAGTTTTTGAGAGATGCTCCACGCTGTCTCTTTAAGGCACTCATGGAAAGCTCTCCTGCTCTGTCCTGAGCCCTGTTGTCTCCCCTCCCCTGCTCTGCGGAGATGGGGCACATGGGCGGGGAGAGAGACAGACTGTGTGAGCTGGCTGCTGGGGAAGTCTCAGAAACAGTGCACTCTCTCTTTAAAGAAAGGCACTCAGTCACTCACCCTTCCCTGCAGAAGCTGAGTTCTGAGCCAGGCTGTGTCCCCTCGGCCCTGCGGAGATGGGGTACAGGGGCTGGGGGAGGGGGGATCAGCACCCTCCCCCACCCCTGCTCTGCACAGCCAGCAGGAGGGTCCTGTGAGCAGCTGCAGAATGGAGCAACATGGGGGGCACATGAGCACATGCTACCTCTGTGCTAATCAGCTGGGCAGCACTTAAATGCCTCCTGGGCTGCTCAAGGAGCAGTTACAGGGAGCACAGCACCCCAGTGCTGCTAAACATGACCAAGGATCAGGTTGCTGCCTGAAAGCGTCTCCTTAGCCAGCCTCTCACCTTGGCATAGGGAGCCAGGTAATCCAGGGCAGTGACGTGGAGCCGGAACTTCTGGGTCTTGGTGAACTTCCCAAAGCAGGTGCCCAGTGCCACCAGCTTGTCCCCAGGGATGCTGGTCGCCACCTTCAAGATTCTCTCACTAGGAAAGAGCAAACGCAGCCAACGTGTGATTAGTTCTCAGAGAACCTCAACACCTAAAAGAGAAGGTTTAACCAGCGCCAGGCCCCCCACTGTCAGCCAGAGGCACGGAGGGGGCGGGGCAACCTGGCTGGGGACCTGCAGTCACAAGCAGCATCAGCCCCGCCCTCTCCAGGAACGGACCAGGAGACCGAGCGCCCTGGGCCCAATCCCTGCCCCGACGCAGCAGGGCCCAGTCTGCAGAACCGGTCACTTCAATGGCAGCTGCGGAGCCTGCGCTTGGGGCCTGGGGACTCCAGCCCGGCTGCGCCGCCCACCTGACGTAGTAAACCCGGTCCTTGTGCAGGCGGAAACAGTAGGAGCCGTCGGGCCGGTCCACCAGCAGCTGGATGTTCTCGCCGATGCTGTGGGGAGAGAGACCGTGAGCGGTGGGTCCCGGGACGGGCCACTAGCCCCAACCCCGGACCCTCTCCCCGGCTATCCCGGGCCAAGTCCCTCTCCGCCCAGCCCCTCCCCCCCGGCTACCCCGGGCCAAGTCCCCCTCCGCCCAGCCTCTCCCCCCCTGGCTACCCCGGGCCAAGCCCCCCTCCGCCCAGCCCCTCCCCCCCGGCTACTCCGGGCCAGGCCCACCTCCGCCCAGCCCCTCCCCCCCGGCTACCCCGGGCCAACCCCGCCTCCGCCCAGCCCCCTCCCCGGGCCCTCTCCCCGGCTATCCCGGGCCAGGCCCACCTCCGCCCAGCCCCCCCGGGCCAGGCCAAGTCCCCCCCGGCTACCCCGGCCCCGCCTCACTATTTCGCGAGCTTCTCGAACAGGGCCCGGGTCTCCTCCTCCGTCAGGGGCCGCATCGCCGCACCCGGCAGCTCCGGGCTTAGTCAGGGCACTGCTCCACGTGGGGGAGGGGACAGCCCGGAACCGGAAACAGCCCTGGGCTAGTAGAGTCTGGAACATAGAGCGTCCCGGGGTGGGTGGGGCCAGCGTACCTCGCTCAGTGCCATAGAGTCGGAGGGACGCGCGTTCCGGGTTTGAGTTCGCGGAGCTGTAGGGGGCGCTAGACCAAGTGTCTCCAGAGCAGTAGAGTTGCCGAGAGGCGGGGTAGAGTGCCCCGCACACCATAGAGTCCGGCGCCCCGTGGATAGCACGTACCTGCGTGTCGTGGCGCTCTCCCCAAGATGGCGGCGGCCGGCGCGGCCCTGGAGGAGGCCAGCCTGCTGGCCTGGCTGTTCCGCGGGGCGCCGGGGTCGGCGCCAGGGCCGGAGCTGGCCGGGTACCTGGCGGAGCTGGCGGGGCTGGGGCTGGAGGCGCTGGGCCGCGAGCCGGGCCGCCTGGCCGAGGAGCGGGCGCTGGCCGCCGCCCAGACGCGGCACTTGGCCTTCGCCCACTACAAGATCTTCATCCGCTCGGCCGAGTGCACCAGCGAGACGGGCCGCGGCTTCGGGGGCATCGAGCGCGGCCTGGCCCGGCTCCTGGGGCGGCTGCCCGGCTTCCAGGAGACCTGCAGGTGGGCCCGGGGGGGCCCCTGGCCCGGGGTGTTGGGGGGGGCGGGGCCGGGGGCCCCTGGCCCAGGGGGTGGGGGGGGGCGGGGCCGGGGGCCCCTGGCCCGGGGCGTTTGGGGAGGGGCCGGGGGCCCCTGGCCCGGGGCGTTTGGGGAGGGAGCGGGGTCTGGTGGAGGTTTGCGGGGGGGCTGAGTTCTCCTTCCCTCCGGCAGGAGCTTCTTGCGGGACGCCGAGGAAATCGCCTCCAGCCGCCGCATGAACAGCCTGACCCTGAACCGGCACACGGAGATCTTGGAGATCCTGGAGATCCCGCAGTTGATGGACACGTGCGTCCGCAACGGCTACTACGAGGAGGCCCTGGAGCTCGCTGCCTACGTGCGCCGGCTGGAGAGGAAACACTCCTCCATCCCCGTCGTCCAGGTTCGTCCCAATAGTGCTGCCCATGCTGGGGGGCTGCGGCCCCTGGGCATGGGATGAGCTCCTCAGGTGGTGGCTGGCATGGGTCGACTCGCCTCCACGCAGCGGGTGGGGACTTGCTCTGAGAGGAGTGTGGTTTGGGGGGGTGACGTTTGGAGTTCAGGTTTGGGGCATGAAGCTTGAGACGGTGGTGAACTGTCTCATAGCTGAGGTCTCTCTCTCCCTGCCTCTAGGGCATTGTGGACGAAGTGCATCAGTCTTCACAGCTGATGCTGAATCACTTGATCCAGCAACTGCGCACTAATATCCAGCTGCCTGCTTGCCTGCGTGTCATTGGCTACTTGCGGCGCATGGATGTCTTCACGGAGGCCGAACTGCGCATCAAGTTTCTGCAGGCCCGGGACGCCTGGCTCCACTCCATCCAGGCCTCCATCCCTGATGACGACCCCTACTTCCACATCACCAAGACCATCGAGGCCTGCCGCGTCCATCTCTTTGACATCATCACACAGTATCGTGCCATCTTCTCGGACGAGGAGCCGTTGCTGCCTCCTGGCGAGCATGTGGTCAATGAGAGTGCCATCTTCCATGGCTGGGTGCTGCAGAAGGTTTCACAATTCCTGCAGGTTCTGGACAATGACCTCCAGCGGGGGGTGGGCAGCCGCTTGGACTCACTGTTGGGTCAGTGCATGTACTTTGGCCTGTCCTTCAGCAGGGTGGGAGCTGATTTCCGGGGCCAGCTGGCCCCAGTGTTCCAGCAAGTTGCATTTGGCACTTTCAGGAAGGCGATTCAGGAAGCAGTGGACAAATTCCAAGATGAGATGAACTCCTACACGCTGATCTCTGCTCCTGCTGTCCTGGGCAGCACCATCCCCGTGACAGTACCAGCCACCCAGCCAGGAACCCTGCAGCCTCCCATGGTGCTGCTGGACTTCCCACCTCTTGCCTGCTTCCTGAACAACATTCTGGTTGCCTTCAATGACCTGCGTCTCTGCTGCCCTGTGGCTCTTGCCCAGGATGTAACGACTTCCCTGGAGGCTGCCCTTGGCAAGGTGAGGCAGGCACCTGACAGGGCGTGGCTGTTTCTCTCTATTTCAGCTTCTTGTACCGGGTTGTCAGAATGCTGAGGATAGATCTTGCCATTCCCTTCTGCACGCACTTCCTGTTGGCTGAATGAGCCCCTTTCCCCTCCCCTGCATTTCCCCTACAATTGGGCAACTGAATCAGACTCGGGATCCAGCATCAGAAGATGAATTGTGTAGGGCAAGGTGGTGGGTCAGTGGCTGCTCTCCAGAGCCAGTCCCATCACTCTGAGCAGCTTGGGGAATGTTTGGTGCAGCTGCCCAGGGTGGAGGTTGCGGGATGAGGAACTGAAGGTGCTTACGCGCTCACTCTCTCTCTCCTTCCTGCAGGTGACTAAAACAATCCTGGCTTTTCACCGGGCAGAGGAGGCGGCTTTCAGCAGCCGGGAGCAGGAGCTTTTTGCTCAGTTCTGTACAGTGTTCCTGGAAGACCTGCTCCCCTACCTTAACCGTTGCCTCCACGTCCTCTTTCCCCCAGCCCAGATAGCACAGACCCTGGGTAAGAATTCCTTCTTCCCTCAGCAGAGAAGTATGAGGGAAGTGCCTGCTCTCATGCAGAGCCAGGGCATATCTGCTGAGCAGGGTGGGTCCCAGAGACCCTTGTCTTTGACCCCTTCACTGCCCTGCTCTGGTTCCCATGGGACATCCGTTGGCTGGAGTGCTCAGAGCTCCCCCAGTGAAGTCCAACAGTCTACAAGGATCCCTGCCTGAGCTGTGTGATGTCATCACTGTCCTCATGTCCCTTTCCAGGTGGGCTCTGGGTGAGTTAACTCTCTGCTCTCTTGGCCAGGTGTTCCTCCCACTCAGCTGCACAAGTACGGCAGCCTTGGCTGTGTGGACGTGAATGTGATCAAGGAGCCACTCGCCTTCATCCTGCCAAAGAGAGAGGCCATGTTCACTCCAGACGAGAAGGAACTGGCCCAGGAGAGCCCAGCACCTGCACCAGAAATTCCAGGGCCAGAGCAGGGAGTAGAACCCAGTGTGCAGCTGCCTCTGGTGGCTGGAGAGGAGAGCAGTGTGAACGCAATGGCTGTTCTGCAGCCTGATGTCCCAGTAGCCACAACCTAACAGAGGGAGGGGATTGCCCCAGCTTGCCTGCCGTGCTGCGCTGCGTGCATATACTGAGTGATTCTGGCCTCTGCAGAAGCCTGTGGGAGTCTTGCACGTAGCAGCGCTGGTATTGAACAATGGCACTGAGTGTGGGGGTGTGGATGGAGATGAGCAGGAGCATTGGCTGCGTCTGCTGATGGGAACTGTACAGAGCATTACAGGCTGCATCATCTGTGACTACTTCCTTGGCTTCACTGTACCCATCAAGTGTGGGCAAGGGCCCTTGCAGGTCTCCTGGTCCTGGGGGAAGGAGGCTGGGCCCAGGCCTGGGCTCTCGACAACCTGTAGTATAAAGAGAGTGAATACTTTCGGACTTGGAAAGCAGGTTCAATGACGCACGTACCTCTGAAAAAGACTGATCATTGTATAAATAAAGCTCATTAATGTATTCTGTGCTGTACCTGCTTCCCCCCAGCCCTGGCTGCAAGCAGCTGCTATGGGCATACTGTGCAGGGATGGTCTGTCATATCCCTCCCCAGCCTGACAAGGACTCAGCTGTTGAAGATATTCACAGATGCTGAGCTGCTGCTATTATCCCCTCTGAGCTTTGGGCTCAAACCTCCTGGTAGCTCAAGAGGCAACTGCCAGAGAGAAACATCAGTGTATTTTTCATAAAGAACTCTGCAGTTTGCACTGCGAGGGAGGAGGTGCCGTGGTGTACAGGCCCATCTCCGGGCATGGCTGAGTGGGGGAGGAGCTGGCCCTGGCCAGGCTAGGCTCTCAGGTGCCTTTGTTTTTTCTTTTCATGTGCTCTGTGTGTAAATGAAGAACTGGGTTTCTGGAACCTTCAGCTTGGGGCTTAGTCCAGCACTTCGCACAGGGTGAGGATCCCTACAACACCTAACATTCAAAACCTAGCTGGGATGGCTTGTGCCCCCCCTTCTATGTGGGGGTGGGTTCAAGCAGAGGGTGGTGGAGGGCTGCTAGCTGGGGGCTTAGAGCAGGGCCAGGGGCTTGTAGGCAATTGGAGGGCGAGAAGCATGAATGTGTGTCCTTGGGCATGCCTCTTCCCCGCCTCCTGTGGTTTCCCTGTGTAGCGAGGGGCCCATGATGCCCTCCTTTGGAAAGTGTAGTGCCATGGGCAACGTGAGGTGGAGAAAGGCCACCCAGCAGCCTCTGGTCAATGTAGCAGATCTATCCCCAACCTGCTGTTGTGTCAAGGGATGTGACTCCCCACACTGGGGCTCCTTCCTGGGGGGCAGGGCTGGCAGATAGACCTAGTGACGGGGACAGGCCCATCACCGCAGGGACCTGGATGGATCGTGCTGCCCCCAGAGACCAGGGTATGGGGCTGCTCTTGCTCTCCACAGCGGGGTGCCCTGCAGCGCCCCTTGCCTGCCGCAGGGCCCCAAGCTGGGGAGCCCTGCAGCCCCCGCGATGGAACCCTCCCCCCGGAGTGCTTGCAAACCCCTCTAATCCCCCTCCCCCCTTGGCTTGGAGCCGGTGACCCCGCCCTGTGCCGCAGGAGACTACAACTCCCGGCATGCTCCGCTACTTCCGGTGGGGACCGGCGGCCCTGTTACACGTGAGCGCGGCGCATGCGCAGGCCGGGCCCGTGGAGCGCGCGCGTCCCCGGTCCCGGTCCCGGCATGGCGGCGTGCGGCGCTCGGCCGCCCTTCGCGCACGCGCTGAGCCGCTGGCGCCCGGCCCGGGCGCAGGCCCGAGGCCTCCAGGCCGGGCCGCCCAAGCCGCGCAACTGCTGGGGGTTCCTGGGGCGCCCGCTGGTGGCGCCCCCGCAGCCGCCCTACGAGCGCGTGTGCCAGGCCGGGCACCCGGTGCTGCGCGGCGCCGCCGCCGCCGTGGAGCCCGCGCTGCTGGGCGGCGCCGAGGTGCAGCGCCTGATCCGCGCGCTGGTGCGGGTGATGCGGCGGCTGCCGAGCCAGGGGCTGAGCGCGCCGCAGCTCGGGGCGCCCCTGCAGGTCTTCGTGGCGGAGCTGCCGGAGCGGCTGCTCCTGGAGACCAGCCCGGGCCTGCGGGAGGCCAGGCAGATGGCCCCGTTCCCGCTCCGAGTGTTCGTGAACCCGGCCATGCGGGTGCTGGACTCCCGCCTGGTCTCCTTCCCCGAGGGCTGCGAGAGCATCGCGGGCTTCGCCGCCTCGGTGCCCCGCTACCGGGCGGTGCAGGTGTCAGGTAGGGCTGGGGCAGCCCCGGGGCCTCCCTCCCTGCAGAGCGCAAAGCCCGGAGCCTCCGCCCATGGACCACATCCTAATAGAGCGAGCCTGTCTCTGGGCCCCCCCCTCTGCCAGTGCCAGTCCCTGCCCGCTACCGCCCCCAGCCCCCCCGGCTTCCCCCCCATCACCTGCCTCAGCCCCCCGCCCGCTACCGCCCCCAGCCCCCCTGGCTTCCCCCCCATCACCTGCCTCAGCCCCCCCGCCCAGTCACCACTGCGCACCCTCCCTGTGGCAACTACGCCTGTTTCTGGGCAGCCTGGAGGTTCAGCCCCATGGGGCCAGCCCACCGTCCATAGACAGGCTGCAGCGTGCTGGCCTCGTTCGGCCTGGCTTGGCATGCTGGCACGTCCAGTGCATCCCCCTTGGTCTGGCAGGAGCCCCGTGTCTCTGAACCACAGAGCCGGGGACAGATTGAGGTCTTCAGTTGTGATAAGTGGCAGGCATTCATGCTGGCATGGGGGAGACCCCGGTTCTGCAGTGCTGGCGCAGTGTGGGGGAAATGGCCCTGCCTGCTTCATCCCACACTGCCCCTAGGCAGGGCCCGAACCCCTCCCCGTCTGCATGTGAGCAGCTGCTAGACAGGGTGAGGTAGCTGCTGCATGAGCCCTGCCCTGAGGGGGCTATACATGCTGTGCCTAGCCCGAGGGGGGATTGGTGACAGCTGTATTGGAAGCGTGGGGGCCTGATGCTCAACTTCTCACCTGGGCCATGTTTGCTTCTGCAGGCCTGAATGAGGCAGGAGATCCCGTTTCTTGGCAGGCAAGCGGGTGGGCGGCCCGCATCGTCCAGCATGAGATGGACCACCTGCAGGGCATCCTGTACATCGACAAAATGGAGAGCCAGACCTTTGTGAACACGCGCTGGACGGAGGTGAACGAGTGAGCCCCTCACGGGCGGCTGGAGTGACCGGCTTGGGTTGTAATGGGGTGTGTCTTCCACTCTCCTACCGACAGCAAGGAAAATAAAGGTGTTGCACAGCTCAGCTGCAGTCTGAGAGTTCTGAGGGCCTGTGGCCGGGGGGCAACCCTCCCTTTCCCTCGGAGGCTATGGGGAACACCTCCCCGCTGGGAGCCGGCGCAGGCAGACTGGTGCATCTCCTGTGCTTTCTGAGCAGCCCCTGCCTCGGGCTGTCCCCTGGCTACACGGGGGAGTCCTGCCACGCTGGTTCGGTTTTGCCCAGCACTTGGAGGGGTAGTTTTATGATGTGCACCCCCAGGGACCAAGCTGAGATTAACTTGTCTTCCCTTCTGTCACTGCACCATGTGAAGCTCAGGCCTTAGGGGGAAAGGCCAGTGGCTGTAGCCCTCCCGCCTGTCAGCGGGAATACTGTCACTAGCAAGTACCACACCAGTGCTGGGGCTGGCACCCGCAGCTAGCTGCTACCCACAGTGCCAGGCCTCGGGAAGGAACACACTTGCTGAGCCACAGGCCAGGGAGACTCATCAGCTTTATTACAGCAAATACAGAGAAAGTCTTCCACAATTCCAGCCTGGGTTCCTTTCCACCCCACGTTCCTCACCTCCCCTGGCAGCCTGCGAGTGCCACCCACTGTCCCCTGCAAGCCGGACAAGGGCAGGCCCACTTCCTGCTCATGGGCTGGGCTTATCCCACTACCTGTGGCTGCCTAGGTTCCCTCTAAGGGACCAGAGCCAATCTGCAAGAGAAGCCAGACACGGGCACCTCCCCTACGAGCAGCAGACTCTTCCTGGCGGACCCGAGCAGGCAGCGGTCTACCTGGGCAGGGGCTCTCCGCCTGCAAGGCCTTCTAGCAGGAGTTCTCTTCCCCGCTGAGAAGCCAGGCAGCAATTGAATGAAACACACGCGTGCTGAGAACAGACCATCTTAGTGCAGAGCAGAGCGAAAAGTGGAGCTCTTCCCAAGAGCCACCGCTGCTGCGGAGATTTCGTTACAGATGCCGCCCACATTGAAAACAGCCCCCGGAGCACTGAGCTCCCCCGTAAATCCAGCCCTCAGGAGGGAGCCGTTTCCTTAAGGAGCCCCATGAGCAGCGTGGATGGGTTGGGAATTAAATTCACCTCAAAGGGCAATGTGAGACTGTGGTCACAGAGCAAAAAGGAAAACAGTCAGGTTACAAGTAGCCTATGGGCAAACTCCAGCCCTGACAGCCCCGCCGGGCTAGCCCCTCTGCTCGCTGCTCAGCAGCTCTACATTGGGCGCTTTCCCTGCCCAATCTGCAACCCCCCCTGTAGGCAGCTGGGCCAGCCGATCCACCCCCCACAGCAACCTGCCTGGCTGGGGCCTGAGCAGAGCCCCCCAGCTGTGATACTGCAACCCCCCCAACTAGGCAGCAGTGTGTGTGGGGGGGGGGGGGGAGATGGAGGTGGGCTGTTAGTTAAGCATTGGGAGCCTCAGGCTGATGCAGGGGCCTTGCACCAGGCACGTCACCCACCTCCAGGCTGGCTACAAGCCTCCAAGAGGGGTTGACAGTAAAACTGGCCGGGGGGGGGGGGGGTAGGAAGAGCAATTGCTTTTCTCCCCCCCCATCGGCACCTCAGGCTCTAGGACAGTGATTCTCAAACTAGTGTACTGGTGACCCCTTTCACACAGCAAATCTCTGAGTGTGACCACCCCCCCTTATATTTTAAAACACTTTTTTTATATTTAACACCATTATAAATGCTGGAGGCAAAGTGGGGTTTGGGGTGGAGGCTGACAGCTCACGACCACCCCCATGTAATAACTTCCCACCCCCCAGTTTGAGAACCCCTGCACTAGGAGTCTCATTCCCCCAGCCCTGCATCGTCCCCGTTTTACACAGCGCCCGCGCTGTCTAGTACTCAGGAGTTCCGGTTCCCAGTCCTGTGCTCTGACCACTCCTCACTCCGCCCCCCGAGCCTGGGCCCCGCTTCCCACAGATGGGGTTACCCCGGCCGACTCACCTGGCCCCCTGGAAGCACAGACCGGGAGGGGCAGGGAGTCTCACGCTCCAAGGAGCTGGCTGCAGATCTGAGCACTTTGTGAGGACACAAGCTTTTGTGCTCCAGCCAACTGATCTGGCAGGCCCCAGGGCCGGGAAGGGGGTGCTCTGGGATCCTGCCCCGAAACCGCACAGAGAGACCTGCCCCCATGAGCTCTGGAGCACAACGACCCCCATTACTGCCAGCACTGCTGGCTATTCCGCCGCTTGTCCTCGCATGCCCATCCAGCGAGTGCAGATGGGGAGCGCCTGTGAGTGGGAGCAGAGACAGCCGGAGGGTTTGCTATCGAGTTTGGCCCAACAGCAGCCAAGGCGTGGGATTAGCTCATTAGGCTAACGCCTGAGCGAAGCGCCTCAGCTCCAGGGCTGGGGCTTGGCACTTGGCTACTCCTAGGAGACGGGACTCAGGCGCAGTAGGACAGGGAAGTGCAGCAGCCAAGGGGCTGCAGATTGTCACTCCCCCTTTGGAGGACGTAGCCCTCAGATCTCCCCCTCCTCTTGACCGTTATTCAGCTGCTCTCACCCCACGTCCACACCAGCAGGGAGGGAGGGTGAAGCTGAGTCGCCCGGAGCTCTGCGGCAGGGCCTGGGACCCCAACTTGCAGCAGGAACGAAGCCTTCGCATACGGTGATCCGGGAGTTGATGGGACTGGGGGTTGCAGCACGCGGGAAAGCAAAGAGCCAGGCTCACGGAGGGGATGTGCAGCAGGCTGGAGAAGTCCCACAGCTATGGAAAAGCAGCCAGCCGGGGAGGGCTCCCTGCGTCAGCAGCACTGCCGCCAGTGGCTGGGCAAGGGGACACACCACTGCTCTGCCCTGCTACAGCAGGGAGCAGAGCCTAGCTGGAGACAAGGCAGCCTTCTGACCACCCACATGCTGCAGAACCCGACCCTAGCCGTGCCTCCAGATCCATTTCCTGCTCGCAGTGCCACGGGGCAGGCTGG